GTGTATGGGCGGTCCCGCCGCCCGCATCCTCCGGGGCGAGAAAAGCCCCGTTCGTAAGTGCGGATCCGACTTATGTCGGATCCGCATAACTCGGGGACTGCCTGTATCTTGATCATCCAAGGACTTCACTGGTTATTTAGTCAGCTTCCTGCTTCTGATGTACTTAAGAAATATTTTGCTATTACTTTTTGAGTTTTTGGCTAGCTGTTCTTCAAACCCCTTTTTGGCTTTTCTTTTTATATTTTTATGCTTGTGTTCTTAATGACAGTGGGAATCCCTCCGCACTGCCGGAAGCTATTTGGGCTTCCCTGCAATAATCACTCTTACAAAAACCGACCCAAGAGTAAGTTAGTTTGATCTTTGAAATTAATGCTCCGTCTTTCTTCTTCTAATACTTACAAATAAACATGGTCTCATCGCTGCCATCTTCTGCCATTTCTGACACCTGTCAAAACATAAGTGAGAATACTGAGCGTAATGCACAGTAATTTGACACAGTTCTAATACACAGATCTAATAAAAAAAAGTAACAGGTTGTACCTCCAAAAACTAGCACTCTCTGGTTCAGCAACATCTGGACCATGGATGGACCTGGACCAGACAGCCTGGGCGCCTAACGACAGGAGGGCCTGACATGGCCAGGCACAGCAGGACCAGGGGCAGCAGGGCCAGGGCTAGAGCCCCGCAGTGGCCTGTAACAGTGTGGGACTGGAGCTACATTAGGGATATAAGCGACTACTTGAGTTACTACTTGACTACTTGCTTCCACTGTATCAGAGGCATCTTAAAAGTCGGGTCCCCCCAGCACCAGCTCTGCAGTGCGTGGCAAGGGGAGGCAGAGGCACAGCAGTCCAGGATCCTGCATGAGCCAGGACTGCCGAGTCCCAGCTTGCGCTGGGTCCCGGACCTACCCGAGCTGCAGCTCTGCCTTTTAAATTTAGTAAGAGTCAGGTGCGAGCCAGGACTGCTCAGTCCTGACTGATGCTGGCTCTGGGAGCTACCCCAAGCAGTGGGCTTGGGGGCCGGTGGCAGAGGACCTCTGCTGTTCCGACAAATTCTCTCCTTTGGGACTAGTCAGGTCCCGGGGGTGCCAGACCAGAGAGGTCCAACCTGTACCTACTGAGGATAATATTAACTAACTCCAATGCACGTGCAAAGAGACTACTGACCCCAGCAAAGTGTATTATACATAGAATCTAAACAAATTAAAATAGTAAATTGACTACTAATATTTATATTAAGGATGACGCCAGGTGCTTTGTAAGACCTCTCCTATGAAAAAATCTCAGGCTTTTCCTAACCACTCTGGCTCATGCAGTTTTTTAATGAAAGAACAGAAACACATTATTTCCATCCTTAATCCTTATGTAAATATTTATGAATAAACAGTTCACACTTTGGATGTAAACAAGAAGTCGACCATATGATTAACCAATAAGCCTAGGTTTACCAGTTAATCTAGTCGACTACTCGCATTCGCTCGGCAGTAAGGGGGGCAGGAGGGAATAAGGATCACATAGTGGTGGGAGTTAGAGAACGCACATTCTACTTACTCAAGTCACCTGACCTCTATGCAAACAGCTTTCCCCTTACCAGTGAATGGGGCTAAGAACCTGTACCCTTATTTGGAAGAGTGTTAATGGATGAAAAGCATTGTATAATTGCTTCTCATCCATGTCTAAATAAACCAAACTGTCAATGGCCAGTTGTTATAAACAGGCCCTCTATTTTGTTAGTGATTATCTTGGGCTCACAGCAAAAAAAGAAAAAGCATAAAAAAGGTCAGGAAAATAATTTATTTTCCAACTCCGAGAGATCATCCTGGTCTCTGGTGATATACCCAACGACACAAGAAAAAGAAGCAGAACTTCCAAACAAGTGACAGGCTGCAATGGGAGATGAGGATGCAGAAAAACGATCACCAGCAGAACCAAGGGAGAGAAAGAGTGCTGTGTTGGCAGTGGGTGCATTTAAGAGAGGATTAATGCAGAGGAATGAGAGATTAAAGTTGCAAACAAGGGAGGGGGGAGATTAAAGACACACTCAGCAGACTGTAACAAACAGCAAAGCTGGTCTGGTCTGAGAATGAAAAGATTTCATGCTTCCATAGGAAATGCTCACCAAAGACATCTAATACAGCCCTCACCCAGGATCACTGTAGAAGCAGAGAGGCCCCGTAGCCTGACAAAGGAAACACTGTCCTTTCTCATACAAGCCAGATTTTTTAAATATTCATGCTTCATGCATTTTTTTCCTTTCCAGCAAACATAAAACCCAAGAACCATCTCAGAGTCACCAGTACCTGCTTCCAAACGTAGCAATGGTCATTCTGGATGATAGTTCCTAAAATGGGCATATAAGCAATGCAAGTTCTATCAAGAGCCCTACCACAGAAACTGAAAGCCACTCATGCTCAAACCTTTCTATTGAGTGAGGGATATTTTTAGGATTTCCCTGCAATTCATACTACTAGCATAATAACCCAAGCTGCAGACATGCCAGTACCACAAAGTGACATCAGGAATTTCCTCTACAGCTCTCTGCTCCATTGATGATCACCGAAACACTGGGTCAGTGCTGCACAGAGATATTAAATGTGTTGTTCTTTCTTCTGAAATCAAAAAGCAACTCTTGATCAGCTGTGTACAACCTGCGTCATTACCAAATGGATCTGAGCCAGCACTCCACTGGGCAAGTTCTACAGCAAAAAAACAACAAAACCAAAAACCAAAACCAAAACCAGATACAACACACCACACGCTACTGTTCAGTTACTCATTCTCTTCTTGGTCAGTCCTCTGAGGCCATGTCCCCTGTGATGGTACTCTGGATATCCGCTGTCTCCTTATGAATTAGAACATAAGAATGGCCGTACTGGGTCAGATCAAAGGTCCATCTAGCCCAGTATCCTGTCTGCCGACAGTGGCCAGCACCAGGTGCCCCAGAGAGGATGGACCAAAGACAATGATCAAGCGATTTGTCTCCTGCCATCCCTCTCCAGCCTCTGACATACAGAGGCCAAGGACACCATTTTATCCCCTGGCTAATAGCCTTTTATGGACCTAACCTCCATGAATTTATCCAGCTTCTCTTTAAACTCTATTATAGTCCTAGCCTTCACAGCCTCCTCTGGCAAGGAGTTCCACAGGTTGACAACACGATTCCACCAGATACCACTTCCAACTACTGTCACCATTCAAAGTTTAATAAAATGGGCCCCTCGTGCAGTAGTTCTCAACCCAAGGCCCAATCACCATGCAGCCACAGTCTATGTGCCGTCCAGTAGTAGATAAACTGTGTGCAGAACTGTCCTGTCCATAGGATGGTTTAGGGCAACTGCCCTGGGGACTAGTAGGAGACCAGGCGCCAGCAGTAGGAGTCAAGAACTCAAAATCCGCAGTGGGAAGTGAAGTCATCTGGCCCCAGCCACGCTGTTTGGGGGAAGAGTTGGACCTGCCCCCAGCACTCACTGGTGGTGGGAAATAGAATGACACTGGGAGCCAGCAGAGTGGAATGGGCTGGGGATGGGTTGGTCCACTTACCAGTGATGCCAGTGAATGTGGGGCTGGACTGACCCCTGCTGCCAATGCCAGGCTCCCTGTTAGTCTCCCAGGCCATGTCATACAGGGGAGGAAGCTTGAGGGAAGGAATGCAATGGGGGTAGGGCAGTAAGAGGTGGAGCAGTGTCAGAGATTTAGGGGGAAGGTGTAGAGAGTGCAGAGTTGGGGAAGAAAAAGACAGGGCAGGGTCTGCGGCAAAGGACAACCCTGATTGTGGGGATGTAGCCCACAATAGTAAACAGGTTAAGAAGCACTATTCTAGTGTAAAAGACCCAGTACAGCTTTTCAATAGTATGTTCAGTACTGACAACGGCTGTGACACTTGTGGAATTCTAGGTTAGACACAATCTGTGCCCTTGCAATGATTTCCATACTTAGTTGGGTCCTAAAGTAATCCTTAGAAGGAGAATAGGACTGAGATTCATTGGTGTGGCACACTGACTAAGCCAGACCTGGTGTGCAAGCAACTCTGGCTCCAGGACTAACAGAATAAATTAAAAAAAAAAAAAAAAAGATTTTGCTGATGAGGATGCAAATGTGTAATGTTGTGGAAGAACCAAAACGTATTTGCTTTGGGAAAGTGCCAGTGATTTCACAGAGAAAAAGGAGAACACAAAGAGCAACATTATTATGTAATTATGAGGAGAGAAAACAAGAGGCCGCCTAAATATACTTCATTAATTGATAAGACAAGGCACTAACTCTCAGTAAATGTTTTACATCAACTTAATTTTCACTTTTCAAAAACAATTGTTTGTTTCCTACATAGCACAATGATTTCTCATGTATTACAGATCTTTTTAGCCAGTTTAGCATAATAACCTACTATGCTGAGCAAAAACAGAACAGAGAATACTATATGTATAGGGCCTTAATTTTAGTTTGCACCAACACCATAATTTTTAAATAAACTGATATTTATCATATAAACACTAGAAAAGGTTACTCAATTCATGTTTACTTCACCCTTTCTGACCGCAGTTTGTTTATATAGGCAAATGCCCCATTCCCCATTGTATATAATGGCTTGTCTACATAAAGCAACAATGCAGACTAAGAGATAGGATTTCTAAAGCACACACATGTATTGCATATCATTTAATTTGTGCAGATCCTGCTGGTGTGCACCAAAGATTTCTTAGTGCATTTTAACATAGCATTTTTAAATACCACTACATATATGCACAAAGAGAAAGCCCCTCCTCAAAAAATGTTTTGACATCTGCATCGAACTCACATTTTGATAAAAAATAAGCCCTGAAAAATTAACTTCTGAAAACCAGAAGCCTTAATTATGTACTAAGTAGTCTCAAAACTGCTGTGTAAATATATCCATTGGGACCCAGCCAAAGAAATCTGCTAAAAGAAACTCCTCAGGTGAACAGTAAGATCTCAAAGACTATGGTGCATACATTCTCTTGATACAGATTTCTGCCTAGATTCTACACCTTTGGTTTCCCCAAATTCATTTTTTGAGGAATATAGGATCTTTCAAAAAAGGGTTTTTCTCCCAAAAAAAAACACATCTAGAAAACAGTTTCACTTTAGAAATACCCTTTTTTGAAAGAACGCATGGCCACCATTATGCTAATGGAAAGCGGGAAATTCAAATCGAAAGAGGGATGTAGTTTAGACATGCCCTAAGATACTAACATTCACACTAGCAAAGAAATCTGTTAAGTTACTCATTTCACTGCACATAGTTATCAGCTTGCAACAGTGATTCAGAACTTCTGTGAAGCCCAGAAATTTTTGTATGACACTGACAGGAATAGTTCAGTGATGACTAAGCAAATAAACAACAATGTTCCCATCTCCATGCATGAGAAGTTCTGCAAATAATGTTTCAGCTAAGCAGATAATAGCCATTAGATGACAGGTGCACACTGTACTCTCATCAATGAGAGAAGGGCAGGAGGACAGTATACTCTGTAATAGGTATGTGAGCAACTAATTGATTGTCTGATAAGCAAATGCTTATCAGATAGTTGACACAGTCAACTAGTTACTTCCTCCCCTTGCTGCCTCTATTCACAGAAGCTATATCTAGACTACATCCCTCTGTCGAAAGAGGGAGGGTAAATGAGCCCAATCAAAAGTGCAAATGAAGTGCGGATTTAACTATCCCATGCTTCATTTGCATATTTGCATCCG